GAGCTCACAAGTTTCTTTTTCAATATGGAGCCCACATTGTCCTAGCTTTAAGTTTGTGACTAAAAGCATATCATCAAGTTAAGTCTCATTTGATCATATGCTGGGTCATTGACTAATTATACAATGTTTTCTGTTAATCATGAACTTATTCAACGAAATCTGTATGACGTAATTAGTCTTCTGCAAGTAAGGACTTATTTTCATTGTTCATATGGTATGAAAAGATTTATCATAAAATGCAGCTAATTTGCATAGGGGCTCTATGGGGAGCTCTATTTTTAAAAATTGGGTTGAGCCGCTTTCCCAATACTGTTATCCTAATTCACGAACATGGGAAAGTGGTTAGTTTGACTCTGGCAAAACAAAAGCACCCTTATTTATCTAAAGACAGCATATGATCAAGTGAACTCTTTTTCTCCATTGTTTCAACAAATAGCAGAATTACAAAAATGAATATTTTCAAATTTTTATTTTTATTTTTTAGGGGAATAATAGTTACTAGGATTCCATTAAAGTCAAGGAGTTATATTGAAGGAAAGGGAATTCAAACAAAACCAAAACAACAATCCTATATCTAACCACAAGAGTGATAGGTCCATCTCCCCACTTGTAAGTCCCTGTATTACTGTTAAAATATTAATTAATTTGTCCTCTTGCACCTCATTTTATCTCTTTCTAGAAAATTCTCTCCACTGCGTCTTGACTTTCACATTGTTCTACCACTCTCTTCTCTACCTTTTACAACATTAAGACAGTATGTAAAGGTGGCAATGAAGGACGGCGTGCGGAAGGCAGCTGTTTTGTGATGGTGCATTGGGCGTTAAAAAAGGCCTATAAATAAGCATGAAAGAGACTAGCCCATAGAGTGAGTTAGGAGAAATAAGGAATCACCGAAGTGATATGCAAAAGAGGTACGCAAAACCTCAAAAATGAATGTATAGTCTGGTTGGGCCTCGATCTCATCGGGTCAAGGACCATGAGTGGGGATCTGGGTGTGGGGTCTGGCCCGAGATCGCTCTCTCAGAAACCGCAGTGCTTGTGATACATGTGCGGGTAGGTACCAATTAGTGAGAGAGAATTATAGAGTGTGAGGTGGGACCTACCTCACAATGGTTCGTGACACACTCGAGCATGTGGAGACGCCCTCTTAGATCAAGACAGAAAGCCCCCTAGCCTGAGGCTGGTTGGACTTTGGCTCCCTTGCTGCACTCTACGCCTTATGAACACACATGTATAAGAAGACCAGACAAGTGGGTCGAAAGACCTTGACTTGTGATTAGATGGTGATTTATTAAGAGTACGATGGGGAAGAATGAAGACGGTTTAAGAGAAAGGAGAGATAAAGAATAAAAACCATTTATCAATCCGACAGTCTTTCGGCATCATCTTAATAAATGGCCTCATAGTAGTGGAAATAATAATATTTATTAATGAGATGTCTCATGGAAGGAGTAAAAAGGGGAGAAGATGACATGCAAAGAAGAATAAAGTAATGAAAGGGAAGGAAATGAGGGATATGGGAGTAAAAGATGAGAGATAGAGAGAGAAGAAGAGATGAGATAAGAGGAAGAAGAGATGAAAGAGAGAAAGAGAGTGAGAGATTAAAAGAGAACGTGGAAGAGAGAGAGAAAAGCTTAGAGAGTAAGAGAGAAAGAGAGAGGAAGAGAGAATTAATAGAGAGAGGGAGGCGAGAGGAAGGGAGAGAAAGAAAGCTGGGCCCGGCGCGGGTCTGTGACTTAGTGAAAGAGGGTGAGAGTGAGACGAGAGGAAGAAAGAGGGGAGGAAGCTGGGCCCACGCCTAAACGCAGGTCTATGATTGTAGACGAAAGAGAGGGAGCGAGTGAGGAGAGAGAGAAAGAGAGAAGATAGAGGAAGAGAAAAGAGAGAAAATCGAGAGAGAGGGGGAGAGAGTCAGACCGAGAAAGGAAGAGAGATCGAGAGTGTGGAGGAGAGAGACCAAGAAGGAGAGAGAGATTGAGAGGAAGACTGAGAAAGAAAGTAAGATTGAGGAGGAGAGAGCGATTGAGAGTGAGAGAGAGAGAGAGAATCGAGAGGGAGGGATTGGAGGAAAGCTGGGCCCATGCCTAGGCATGGGTCCGTGACTTCGTGAAAGAGAGAGAAATTGAGAGTGAGGGGAGAGAGAGAGATCGAGAAGGAGAGAGAGATTGAGAGAGAAATTGAGAGAGGAAGATTGAGAAAGAGAGTAAGATTGAGGAGGAGAGAGAGATTGAGAGTGAGAGAGAGAAATTGAGAGGGAAGGAGAGGAGGAAAGCCGGGCTCGCTTGGTGAAAGAGAGAGAGATTGTGAGTGACGGAGAGAGAGAAATCGAGAGAGAGAGGAAGACTGAGAAAGAGAGAGAGGTCGAGAGTGAGGGGGGAAGAGAAAGTAAAATCGAGAAGGAAAGGGAGATTGAGAGAGAAAGAAATCAAGAGAGAGGAAGACTGAGAAAGAGAGAGAGAGGAAGACTGAGAAAGAGAGAGAAATTGAGAGAGAGGAAGACTAAGAAGGAGAGAGAGAAATCGAGAGGAAGGGAGAGGAGGAAAGTCGGGCCCGCACCTAGACGCAGGTACATGACTTGGGGAAAGAGAGAGAGAGAGCAAGATCGAGGAGAGAGAGATTGAGAGAGAGAAATCGAGACAGAGAGTAAAAGACTGAGAAAGAGAGAAATCGAGAGTGAGGGGGAGAGAGAAATACCGAGAAAGAAAGAGAAAGAGAGTAAGAGAGACGAGCGAAAGGGAGAGGAGGAAAGCCGAGCCGATGCTTAGTCACGGGTCCGTGACTTAGGGAAAGAGAGAGAGTGAGAGACGAGAGGAAAGGAGAAGAGGGGTGCTGGGCCCACGCCTAGGCGCAGGTCCGGGACTTGGTAAAAGAGAGATTGAGAGATGAGAGGAAAGGCGAGGGAGGAAGACTGAGAAAGGGAGAGAGATCAAGAGAGAGAGAGAGAGAGATGAGGAAGGGAGAAGAGGGGAGCTGGGCCCACACCTAGGGATCGGTTTGGGACTTGGTAAAAGAGAGAGTGAGTAAGAGAGAGAAAGAGTGTAAGAGAGAGGGAAAGGGATAGAGTAAGAGGTGCTCGGACCCGTCTCGAGTCTGAGTAGGCGAGAGTGAGAGGAGGGAGAGAAGGAGACAGGAAGAGAGAGAGAAGAAGAAGGCCCCCTCACAACCCGCACATTGTGTGATCTGACAATTAGAGTCTCGAAAGGGTCCGAGTTCTAAAGAAAGCTGACTCAGGATGACCCCAACCTGAGTGATTGAGTGCAAGAGAATCAATATCTCTTATGACCCGTATTCACTGTATAGGAAAATGGTTAGGATAGCAATCCCAGAACTAGAACCCTAAAACACTATCTTAGGATGACCCTGAGTCGAATGTTTAGGTAATAAGGGAAGCAACCAATGAAGACAGGGGAGGGTAGAAGATTGTAGAAACAAAATAAAAATATAAATGAATTGTGAAAGGGGTGAGGTTTAGAGAAAAGAGGATGAAGAATGTGGGTGCAAGAGTTGACAAGGGGGTATAAGCGTAGATAGGAGGTGAATGAATTGATAGGCGTGGGCAGGAGAGCGTGGGTGGAGGTATAGGCATGAGGAGAGGGAAGAAAGAGGGGAGGAAGCTTGGCCCGTGCTTAGACGCGAGCCTGTGATTTTTAGACAGGAGAGAGGGAGTGAGTGAGGAAGAAAGGGGGGAGGAGGCCGGGCCGGCGCCTAGACGTGGGGCCATGATTTTTAGACAGGAGCGAGTGTGGATGAAAGAGGGGAGGAAGCCAGGCCCGTGCCTAGAGGCAGGTTCAGGGTTTTTAGATGACAGAGAGAAAGAGTGAGAAAGAGAGAGAAAGAGAGAAAAGAGAGAAAGGGGGAGAGAATTGAGAGAGAAGAAGAAGAGAGATAATAAGATAAGCCCCCAGTGTAAGGCTGAGTGAGAGAAGAGAAAGAGAGAGAAAAAGAGAGTAAGGGCAGTAACCTAAGGTAGCCCTTGGGTTTGGGCCATGGGCTAGGTTGGTCTTTGCCTTCTTGGTGTATCCTTGAAGGCGGGTTGGGTGTTTTGATTTTGATGTAAGGGTGTAGGGTTAAGGCTTATGAACTAGGGACTATGGAAAGTAGGCCTAAGGTGTATGGGGTAGGAACTATGAGAGATGTGACTATGATCTATGCGAGTAGGGATTAAGGGAGATAGAAGTAAAGGGTTCTAGGTTGGGAGTGGGAAATTCGAAGTCAGAAGTGGGAGTTTCTAGGGGCTCTAATGAGTGAAATTTTTCTCTTTCCTCTCTTTGGGGTGAAGAAGATAGAGTAAAAAATCACAAAACTAAAGGGATGGCCAATGTATTTCATTAACTTTTGAACTTACATCCAACAACTAAAAAACTTCTCAAGCCTAGGATTACAAATGAGCATAAGGTGCTTATATAGCATCCCCTTGAAATACGAGTGGATGACTAAAAGAGAGCCAAATTGTTAAAAATTACACTTTTGGTGAATTAAAATTGAATGCCATTTTTGGGACAAAATAGCCACTTTGCCCTCATTCAGAATCTTGAAAATGACGAGATGGTCCCCAAAAGGGCACCATAGGCTATGGTGATCGTTTGTGGCCTATTTCGTGCTCGTCCGGCGACCTTTTGGCAAAAATAACATCGTAAAAGTGATGGTCTTGGCGAGATCATTTTGATATATGATATGCTCCTTGAATCGAGGTTTCAAACCCTTCTTGAAATTCGACGAAAGATGAGCAACTTGCAATCTTGAGTGCTTGACCTTGTTCGTTTTTCGATATCTTGGGTCAATCTTTTCATCATAGAATGACGAAGAAGCTACCATGATCATTTTGTGATAAAAATTGCTCGATTTG